TTTACATATTAATCTATTCAGTTCAAATCCTTTATTAGAGTGTCTGCGAACAGGAAAGAGCCTATGACTGGCGTTGTGGTAAGTCCTTATTTTAAAGCGAGGAATGTAATGTACCAATACTATAACGCTTTATGCGACTTGATATCTACGTTTATAATATATAGCATTCACACCATCCAAGTAATTATTGTTTTATTGCTGACAATAAACACGAGAATTCCTTACTTTGAAGTCTCACGTCTAGTGTATTTCACTGCAGGACCGCTGGTTACTCACACTTTCGTCCTTTCTGAAGTGTGGAGCTGCACGCTGAGTTATACCTCTCTTTCTGCTGTAGGGTTAGAATTCTCCATCCTGGCTATAAATAGGTCCGACGTCGCTGTTACGAACTGAACTACATTACAATTGTTGAGAATACTGTACATTATGTGGTACACGCATCTAGTGATTAATGCCCCCTTATTCTTGCTGCCAAGCTAACAGGGACAGGAGTTTATTATTACGGAAGTATGTGTTTTCTTTCAAGTTAAAGCATTCTGCGATCATAATTGGCTCTTTCTATTTAATAAGAGTCCGGTAAAAGGATATGTGATCTTGCGTCTGTCAGTCACCCAGTGAGCGAGTGAACCAGGCAGTAAGGAATTCGGACAGGCAGCCAAACACTGAGTGAGTTAAACAGGTAGCCAGCCAGTCAGCCAGGCAGGCAGGCAGCTACTACTGAACAGATAGGACGTGAGTGAGTAATTCAGTCACGCAGCCAGCCTAAGAAAGAGTGACTGAATCCATCCATTCATCAACCAAAAACCAGCAAATGAGTGGGTAGTTTTGTAGGTTAGACAGTCATTGAATAATTTGTCAATTCAGAACAAACACGTTGAGCTGCATTTGTTACTAACTGTGGGCGTATTCATTCAGAATCAAGACGGTGGGCTGAGTACAACGAAGTATTCTTGTCTTTGATATCCACGAGTTAACTCTCGTCAGATATGGGTCATTATTCAAAACACGGAGGCCGGGAGCTCGCGATGATTAGATTCTAGGTAGTTGTTTATTTAGCTGTCAACATTGAACAATGATGACGAGTCCATGTGTCAGGAGGGGAAGCTGTTGCAATTCATTGTGACTACACGGCCAGGGGAAATCGATCACTTCAGAGCGGAAGCGTCAGCTTAACGTCAAATTGTATGCTTCATGTTTTGAAAACAGAACAAAACCAAGTGAGTCTCTAATTTCTATTTTAAAACAAAATTGGAAATGA